TCAAAACAGGTTTGTAATGTCCTCTTCTTTGGAAAGTGTTCTCTGACTGTAGCAGAAAGAATTTGCCTACCCTGCCCTGTTTCCACAAACCATTACATGATATTCATTAGTGTTCAAGGGGTATGCATGCATACTTTTTCAGGCATTGGGTTTGAGGGCAAGAGCTTGGCCATGTAAAATTCACCTGAATGTGTCCGCATAGTTATTACAATGGAGGACACATTGTATTTGTGGGAGTGTAGCTAATGGGACGGAAGCATTGTTAACCAAAATACTGTGCATATCAGAAGATTCTGTTTCCTCATTACAGCAGATTAAGTTCACCATATTTATGTTAGCCTTGGCATTCTACTTCACCAACTTGGGCCACACTACATTGAAATGACAGGTCACTGGTCACTGTGTCCTTCTTTGCTTATGTGAGCCTCTACATACACCTTACCTCCTAGATCAGCAGATTTTTACTAATTTTTTAGCTGATTATATTTGTTTCATACACAGAAAACAAAGCTCATTTTGTACAAATGTGCAAAGCAAGAATATGAGAGCTCCATTTCTAAGTTTATGGTATCAGCATCGCTGTGAAATATCATTCATTCCTTCACAGTTGGTTGGATTTGCTGTTGCCGCCAGGCATGTGAAAGGAAGACACAGCCAGCAGCTGCTGGCCAGTACATAATATAGTTTTGCCTGTATTTTCAGTTTACATATATTACAGGGATGGGAAGGGATTTTTGAATGCTATTTAAAATCTTTTAAAAATTGATTCATTCATTTATTTGGAAGTCAGAGTTGAGAGAGAGCGAGCGAGCGAGCATGCACTTCCACTGCCAGGTCTTCCATGTGGGCAATGGGCCCAAGTATTTGAGTCATCTTCTGTTGCTCTTCCCAGGCCATTTTTAGGGAGCTGCATAAGAAATGGTGTGGCTCAGGTCTGGCATAGTAGCCCAGTGGATAAAGTCCCCACCTGCATGTGCCAGGATCCCATATGGGTGCTGGTTCTAATCCTAGTGGCCTCACTTCCCATCCAGCTCCCCACTTATGACCTGGGGAAATAGTCAGGAAAGTCCCAAAGTCTGCACCTGTGTGGGAGACTTGGAAGAGGATCCTAGCTCTGGCTTTGGATCAATACAGGTCTAGCCGTTGTGGCTGCCTGGGGAGTGAATCAATGGATGGAAGATCTTCCTCTTTGTCTTTCCTCTTCTCTCTATATCTGCCTTTCAATAAAAATAAATCTTTTAAAAAAAGAAACAGAGTGGCTTGAACTCAAGTTAAATCTCTTATGTTGTGTGTCAGCATCAAAGCTGGCAGTTTCATCTACTATACCACAGTTCCAGCCCCAGTTTTAAAATTTATTTTAAAATGGTTTTAATCTTAGAAAAAATTGTAAGAATGGTATAATGATCAATCATAGGCTTTTTGATCAGATTCTGTTTTCTCTGTCCCTAAATAATGTGTGCATATTTATAGGTGTATGTACTTACTTTCACAAATTGTAATTATTTTGAACCCTTTGAGAATAAATTGCAATAATGAGTCTCTACCCTTGAATACCTTAGTGCATATTTCCTAGCAATGAGATATTCACAGTTCAAATATTAAAATCAGGAAGTTAGACATTCTTACAATTCTATTTCTTAATCAACAACTCTTATTCAAATTTTCCTATAGATGTCCTTTATGCTTTTTTTCCTTCCTTTCACAGAACCTAATCCAGAATCCCATCTTATTCTTAGGTTTTATGCTGCTTTGATCTTTTAAAATCTGCAACTGGTTCTCAGTCTTTCTTTATTTTGGTGACATTGACATTTCAAAGAGCACAAGCAGTTATTTTGTGGAATGTTCTTCAATTTGAATTTGTCTGATGTTTTCTTATGATTAGATCTCCTTCATGAGAACTTAAAAAAAAATTCCCGGCATATTGCTATATTTCTCTCTCCTATTTTTTGATTATTCCTGCTGTCTGGACTTCCTCAGCAAAGGGCTGCTGGGAAGGGATCATCCAGCAGGCCTTCCTTGGCATCTGGAAGGGATGCTGGGAGGGCTGCATGCCATAGGATATGATGTATGCTAAACACCATGCGGCATTAACTGATTTTGGAAGTTCTGAGAAGCTGGGCTTCCCAACAACTGAAGTACAAGGAGTAGGGATGGTTATGGGAAATTAGATAACAAAGAAAATTGACCTTTCTTTCTTTTTTTTTAAAGATTTATTTATTTATTGGAAAGTCAGATATACAGAGAGGAGGAGAGACAGAGAGGAAGATCTTCCTTCCGATGATTCACTCCCCAACTGAATGCAACAGCCGATGCTATGCCAATCTGAAGCCAGGATCCAGGAACTTCTTCTGGGTCTCCCACACAGATGCAGGGTCCCAAAGCTTTGGGCCGTCCTCAACTGCTTTCCCAGGTCACTAGCGGGGAGCTGGATGGGAAGTGGAGCTGCTGGGATTAGAACCGGCGCCCATATGGGATCCTGGTGCATTCAAGCTGAGGACTTTAGCTGGTAGGCCACGCCACCGGGCCCAAAAGTTGACCTTTCAATTGTCCCATTCTTTATTCATTCATAAGCTTAATAACTTTTGTCACTGGCCTGCTGCTTGTTGGGGTCATCTTCTAGCACATCCAGCACCAAAGAGAAAACTTTCAAATCAAAAGCTCCTTTTACTCTGACATAAGTCACAAGTCCATCATTCTAATATTTCAGTTTATCAGGATATTGTAGGTATAGACAGTGGTAGAAAGTCCAACATCCTATAGTCAAGATATATTTAGCAGTTTTATTGGGAGTACTTTTATTCAGGATGGAGATGCATACTGTAATGTATCTTCTCTTCTTGATATGTTAATATTCATTATACAGCTTTTCTAAATGAATGTACGTATATACAGATTTAATTATACATCAATTGATCTTACATTTTGCATGAAGCTTGCCTTATATTAGAGAGAACTGTTGCTGAAGGACTATATGGTTGTAATAAAATGCGGGAAAGTAGCAGGGGGAGGGGAAATAGGGAAAGTAGAAGGGGATATCCTGAGCCTATGGAACTGTATCATGGAAAATAAAAATTTTAAAAATGAAGGGTAGGATAAATGATTCAACAACATTTTCAATTTGTTAGTGAAAACCTTTACAAAGAATTGCTTCTGCCTCTTCACCTAAATAGAGTAATTTCCATTCCTCTTGTGATATTTATTAACATCCAACCTAATTTTTGCATCATTATCTCCATAGTGCATAAATAATTTTGCATTCCACTTTCTCCAGTGAAAAGTCTATTATATATTTTGTTGTGGTTTTTAACTTGCATATTTATCATTCTTAATGACTGTAGTAAGTTCTTTTGAGCTTATCTACTATACATACATTTATCTTTTGTTGTAAATTTGGTTTGTTTTTAATTTCTCCACTAATGTTTAGGGAAAAGCCATTTTTTAAAAAAATGTATGGCCAGTTCTTTTGTTTAAGCTGTTTTGACAAATTATTTCATTGGAATTGTTCACTGGGCACACACACACACACACACACACACACACACACACACACACACACACACACACATTGTATTCCTTTAGAGAAACCATAGACTGCCTTTTTAGAGAAACTTCTTTTTTCCTTGAGTATGCTCTGAAACTGAGTTCCTAACAGATAATTAGTAGTGAAGACCTGATCTGACTGATCTGTAGCTTGAACTGCAGAATACTTTGCTCATTGTTGCTATGCACCACCTGGTGGAGATGAGGAGGACAGTGGCCTATGCAGCTGAGATGTAAGGTTGCAACTCCTGATTGCAGTTGCTTTGCAATCATTCTCTTGCTCTGATATAGTTGGACAGTCTTCAGGTCTTGTATCTGAGAACCACTGGAAGAATACATCACCCTTTGGCAGGTGGCTGTCGGTTGCCTCCTATCAGTAGGACTGATTAGCTGTCCAGGCCTCTGGGCACACCTGAGGAATGATTCCTCAGCGGTTGTTCTGTGTGTGGACTGAGAAAAGTTGTAGTGGCAGGGATTCAAGGAGGAACTGAAATCACTAGGTCACGCCATCTCATCCTACTCCAGCATCTTTTGAGTGTACACTGTGTGAGGTAGTCGCCAGGGTATAGAGTGGAGGCATGTGATCAACTGGTGGGTACAGGGACTATTGCTAAAGAGGATACAGATCCTGCGGTTTTGTAGTTGACTTACTGAGCCTTGACAGGCCTGAAAAATTGACACACTCAATATTTTGGTCAGATCTGTAGAGAATTTCCAGCTTTCTTGAGGTGTGGCTGATTTCTTGTTAGTCATATTTATTGGTATATCATATGACTTCCTTCATGTACATAACATATTACTTTTTCCCTATGGGGTTAGAAGTTTAATGCTTTGTTTCCGCTTGCTTAGTGTGGAGCTTGGAGCACAAAAAGTGCTCAAACTATTTTTGACTAGTTGATGACTCCAGCTCCTTGGTTTTTGAAACCAAGTGTATTATCACCTGGGAAACAATTATGCGTGTGTTTTAAGTGTTCTCCAAGAAATGAATGGTAGCTAAGTACACCAACAGCAAGGAGTAGTTGAATGCAAAGGGAGCTACACAGGCTTGGAGTTAGGCAGGTGAGTGAGGGTTCTTATCTCAATTCTGCTGTTTTTTCATGTGTTAAGTTGGTTGACCAGGTCGCATTTCAGAATCTCAACTTTCTCACCTGTAGTTTTGAATAAACTACTTTACTCCCAGGCTTGTTCTTAAGTTCACTGTCTTAGAGCTGACAATCAAAAATGCTACCCTCTTCTTGTCTCCTCTGTCTCCTCTGTGATAGTAAGGCAGGGGCGCCCTCTCCACATACCATGCTCAACCAAGAAGCACATCTCTGCATTTATGTTACCTGTCATTTAAGATGCCGCATAGTGGTCCATCTTTTCCTAACAGCAGTAAGTGTTAAGTACTTGAAGCAGCATGTGCACACTTTGATTCTGCCTGGAGTTTGTTTAATAGTAACTGTTCTTTGCCTACACAGGATATATGAACGGGTAATAGATCCTCCAGAGACCAACCTCCCCCCAGGAAGCAATTTATGGCTTGGTCAGCGCAACCAAAAACATGGCTTTTTCAAAGTAAGCACTAACGTGTGTGTGTGTGTGTGTGTGTGAAATATTTGGTATTCTGTATTGTTCAGGATGTGCCTGTTATAATGATGGGAAGAACATGGCATAATAGTAATGAATGATGCTTATTGGTATGATGTATTATGTGTCATGTGCTTTTCTATTCACTCATTTAATTGTCAAAACCATTGTGTGAAATGAGGGCTTTGAAACTCATCAGAATAAGATGAATTGTTCAAGGTCACACAGCTCAGAATGCTGCCAGGCATGGGTGATGAGCAGTGTAAATGATCCTCCAAGTGTGTCTGTCTCATTGACCTGAATTCTGAGGGGCTTGCTTATGATAATCTTCAAATTGGGTAATATTTTCAGATAATATGTTATTTTAATTTTGAGAGATATCTAGATATATAGTAGGAACATATTTAAGCTTTTTGAGCTTTGGTTTTCTTGTCTGTAAAGACAGTAATAATGATAGCTAAATTATTATATTCTGTAGAAACATGAAAACACAATGATAAAATGAAACACTTAAAATAGTTGAAATACTTAAAAGTACCATGGAATTTTAAGAGATGCTTGTTTTTTCAAATCATGTCATACTTTTGCTTCTGGCAATTCCGTAGACTAGATACTGTAAGCATCTTCTTGCTTAAAAATGCTTGTAAGTGCTGGATAAAATGCAAAAGCAATATTTCAGAAGTCATCACTACATTTACAAGAAAGAAAATCTTTATGGTACAAATATACAAGGCAAAAAAAAAAAGAAGAGGGTGTTTCCCAGTATTAGGAGCTTAGACTCTTATGTGTATTTTTTCTTTTAAAAATATTAAGATTTAGCTAACAATTATATTTAATTGTGTAAATGCATTTTTGTGATCCCTGAAAAACTCTTCAGAAAAAAGATTTTTTATTTGGTAGACAGTATTAAAGAGAGAGATGGGAAGGAAGCTGAGAAAAATAAAAAGGCGTAGTTGGATTTATCTTTTAATGCTGTTTCTCTCCGCAAAAACCAACTAAGGCTGGACTGTGCTGGGCCAAAGCCATGAACCGGGTGTATCATCCAGGCCTACTCTGTAGGTGGCTGGTGCCCAGGCACTTGGGCTGTGTTTTGCTGCTTTCTCATGTCATTAGCAGAAAGTTGTACTGGAAGCTGAGCATCCAAGACATGAGTAGGTGCTCATACGGGATACCGGCCTATCAGGAGTGACTTAACTTGCTTTACCACAGTGCTACAGGCTGAAAATGACTTTTGTCATTATATTTAAGATAAAGAACTGTCCCATCGCCTTCACAAATTCTCAAATACCTTTTTTTGTTTTCTCTCTCTAAATTTCCAGCAGCCAGTGACTGGGTTTCTGATCATTCTGTTTTTCAGAATGTTTTATGGTTGAATCATTTTTATATGTATATATTTGTTGAAATATGTATGTTGGGATTCACCCAGAATTTTTGGGTGCATATGTAGTTCATTCATTTTTTTTTTCTGTTGCCAGCAGTATAATAATTATGTTGTATGAATCTACCACAGGTAATCAGTTTTTACTTGAGGACATTTGGGTTATTCCAGTTTGGGCGATTATGAATGAAGGCATAGCTACAAATCAGAAGCTATCCCATTTTGTATTCTATCAGCAATATGTAAAAATTTCACTTACAGTCTTATATATCATGAGTTTGGAATGTCAGGAATATCTTGGATTTCATGCATGGTATTAGGATGGACACCTCTGAATTAAATCTAGGACCCAAAAATCATCTACATGAAAAGTGTGGTAGAAAGTCCACTGTGTAGCAATGAGTGTCATTCCCATAGCCAGCTTATCACAATCTCATCTCTAGAAAAAAAATACATCACTGATTATTTTAATCACAACCTTGTCTTCATAAGACCTATAACCTAGGTCTTGGTTCACAGTAAGTAGTCCTATTTTGGGTAACTGTAAATTTCTAATGAAGAAAATGCAGCTTTTCATTTGACAATGTTACCTGCATGGCAGACTTTATAGGATGCCAATAGATTAAGTCTAGAAAAATGTCAGTTTTAGGATGGCACTAGCAACAAGTGAAAAAAAAATCAGATTACTCAGTTAGCCTTAAAGGGCTTTAGAAATTGGAATTATGGGTTTATTTTAAAATTCTTGTTTGCAATGTTCAAAGAAACAAGTTAATAAATTAAGAAATGTATGATGGCTGGAGATGAAAAATATGACTAGGGATATTTGAACCAAAATGCATCTCCAGAAAAAATGAAAAAAATTAAGTCATTGAAATGAAAAATAAAAAAGTAGTGAAACTGCCAAATAGTAGAATAGACACAGGTGAAGAGAGCATTTGTGTAATTGAAAATATTGTCCAAGTAATTACATAATAGTTGTGCAGATGGATATTGAAAATAAATAATATAGAAAAAGACATTGGTGTTGAGGCTGACTTCTTGGATAAAGCCTTCAAAGCAAAGGCAACAAAAGCAAAACTAAACAAGTGGAGCTAAAATAAGAAGCTTTCAAACAGCAAAGGAAATAATACAGTGAAGAGACACCTAAATAGAATGAGAAAAAATATTTGCAAGGGATCTGTCTGACAAAATGTTAATATTCCCACATGTATCAGCAACAAGAGACCAGCCAGTCCAGCTGAGAAATGGGCAAAGCACTGCAACAGAAAATTCTCCAAAGAAGAAATTCAAAGGATAAATATATACAAAAATGTTTAACATCACTAACCATCATGAAGTACAAGTTAAAACCACAGAATCACCTTACCTTTGTCAGAATGACTAAAATCAGAAAGAGAGAGTGTAATAAATGCTGGTGAAAATTTGGACAAAGGACAACACTTAACCCCTGTTGGTGGGAGTGTAAATAAGTGTATTCACTGTGGAAAACTGTGGGACATTATAAAAAATAAAAAAACTAGAAATAGACTTAATATATGATCCAGCAATCCCACTATTGGGTATATACCCCCAAAATTGAATAATGTTCAGTATTGTTTATGTCTTAGGAAAAGGCAAAGACGTTTTATCCCAATTTCAGGCCCTCTGTGATAAAATTCAGAGTTAAAATGGGACTCATGTCTCCTGCCCCAAGACATGAACCTATAGGTTCAATCTCTCCAACCTCCAGTAGAAAGTAGAGCCAGATTCCTAATAGAGCAAGGCAGGAGAGAAAGCTCAGGATCTCTTCCTGGAGCCTTCAGGCCAGTTTGTTACTAAAGCATCTGGCGTCTGATATATCCCAAAGACCTCTACCTCTTGGCTGATGTTTGAGGACTGAGCCTTTGAACTTCCTTGGCATTCGATGGAACCCTGCCCTCTCAGGGCTACCGTGAACTCATTTCAGGATGTGTCACTGTCAGCTTCATTTGGGCTTAGACTAGTATCCCCTTGGGATTTTGTAGGAACTGATGGCTATGTGGCCCAAATGAGATCCAGGCTGGCATCAGTTTAAGAGGTCAGGGACCTACCTTAATTATCTCTTTCAGCCATAGGCAGAAGACAGGTAACCACAGAACTGTGTCATGAGACTCACTGCTGGGCTAGTTTAGACCAACACCAAGCAAATCCTAATGGTTTCAATCTCTAGGCAAGTGTGTCTGTCTAGAGGCTCTTGCCTTGCCGCAGTATCCGGTGGATACCTGCAGCTCAACAGCAGATGGTCTGTAGCAAGGTGGACTTTGATCCCACCCAGGGACTGCACTGATCTCAGGGTGCTCTTGCCTCCTGGTATGATCTAGTGTTATGTCACTGGTAGACACAGGACATTGGGGTATGAGCCTTCCAGAGGTTCAGGGATTTGTATAGCAACAGACCACCATTTCTAAAGCATTTATTTTCTGATCACATCAACTATAGATTTGAGACATATTTGAATTTGGGGGATACTGCAGGCTGAAATAGTGCATACCTGGGGAAAACCTCAGGTTACTGTGAAATCTGGTGGTACAAGACTTTTTAGAATTTCTAGTATAGCTACAAATAAAACCAGCTTCTTTCAGCTCAACATTCAGTGCACAGATGATTTTGTGCACTGCGAAACCAGTGGCATTTAGGGAATCATGGTCTCACCTAACACTGCTTCACAGGCAGCAGATTAACCACAATGCTAGAATGAACATTTCAGAATAGCTGTTTTAAGCAAGTTGAACACACTTTAAAGCAGCAGGGAGAAAAATGTTTAATGTTGAAGAGAATTGGTACAAAGGTTGACTTTTTAAGCTAGAATTTATTAGTCCACTAAATGAAATTAAAAGTGTGATGGAAAGCGCCAGTAACATAAGAGATCAAATAGAAAACAGGAAGCAGTGAACTCAATGGCTATTTGAAAATATAAAGTTGGCGAAGAAAAAGGAAAGAAAAAAGACTGAAGATAAATGGAGAAGTTTGGATTAGCTTGAAAAGAGCAAATTTTGAAATTATTGGAGGACTGAACTAAGTCTAGCAAAAGAAATAATATAATCAGACACAAGGTGGTAACCTAGTGGCTAAAGTCTTCACCTTGCATGCACCAGGATCCTATATAGGCACCTGTTTGTGATCTGACAATCCTGAGTACCATTCAGCTCCACATTTGTGGCCTGGGAAAGCAGCAGAGGACGTCCCAAAGCCTTGGGACCCTGTACCCACATGGGAGACCCGAAAGAGGCTCCTGGTTCCTGGCTTTTGATCTGCTCAGCTGAGGCCATTGTGGTCACTTGGGGAGTGAATCAGCGGATGGCAATCTTCTTCTCTCTACCTCTTCCTCTCTGTATATTTGACTCTCCAATAAAAATGAAAATAAATCTAAAAAATAAATATAGAATCAATCTCCTCATAGTGAAAGATAAAGCCAGGATTCTCAGTTTTAAGAGAAAAAAAGATAAAACACAAAATACCTTACTGCATACTTAATATACTTAACTTTACAGGTCAGGATGGAGTGAGATGAGACTTTCACAATACAGTAGGAACAACAGCAATTACAATATTGGCAACAGCCAAAAACTACTAAGAATATTGTTCTGCTAAA